TGGAGGTTCAGCTGGAAGTGATGGGCCAGGCTCACCTGCTGGAGGTTGTGGAGGAAAAGGCTCAGGCATAGGTACCTGAGATAAGGTATCAGACATAGAAATTCAATATTCACCTACTTGATGTGTACATATGCATTCAACATATAAATATAGCTTTCAAGAAAAATAACAAACGCTTCTGATATAGCAATGAATGAGTCAGCATACATCACAAAAAACAAAAATGATCATAAGTGTTGTTTCCTGGATGCAATGATCGGACTTTTGCTGGTCGGCTTGGGTGGCTCAACCTTGCAGGAAGGTTTGGCTGCTCCAAGACCTGCAGCTCTGTGCATCTCCAGCTGTTGGATCAGCTGAATGTTCAGATCATCCATTGCAGGCATCATAGGCCCTGGTGTGCTTGGCACTGCCTTCGACTGACCTCCTGGGACTGGCTGAGGTTGAACTGCTGGTTGAAGTGGTTGTGAACCTTGAGGTGGCTGTTGAACTGGAACAGGTGGAGGTGGGATTGGATGACATTGCAATGGTGTAGTTGCAAATGGCGCTGAATAAGCAAATCCTGGAGGATGCGGCCCTGCACTGCTTGAGGATGAGGTCCAGGAAGGAGGTGGCCCTGGTGGCTCTGGAGGTTTTGCACCTCGTTTGCTTTTGGGCTAGGCTCTGCAAGCAACCAGTGGCTTTTGATACCTGGGCAGCTAGTTGGTACACATGTGTACAGTACTTGGGCAAGCATGTTACAATACACATACTTGAAAAGAAGAAAGCTTACTTGGAAGAAGAAAGCAAAACCAAGTAGCCCAGTGCAAAGGACTTCATTGAAAAGACCATTCAAAGCGCTGATTGCCCACACAAGGTCATCTTCCTGAGCTGTGGACTAAACAATTTGCTATCACATTCTTCTCTCACAACAAAAGCAAAAATGAAGCGATCAACATTTGATCTTTTTCATTGAATGGCTGGAAACTCAAGTAACATTCCTGATTGCATACAAGTGATAATCTTTCTTTTGAATGGACACCCAAGTAACATTTGTGATATGATCCATATGACTTTTGTTATTGACTCAATGAAAACTCAAGTAACATTTCTGATTGTACCCATTCTGCATCAGCCAAGTGTCAGTGGAAAGGTCGCAGAACACTGTCTGATGTCTAGGGGTCATCACCCTATCCATCCTGCAGCATTGGAGGTCCAAAGGCTGCAGGCCAATCCCCTCCAAGAAAGACCTGACCTCCCACTTGTTGACGCTGAGCTTCACATTCCTGAGCATCAACCTTGGATACTCAGGAGCCTTCTCAGGCATGGCACCGGCGCACTTCATGGTTGAAGTGAAGAAACCCAAATGGTGTACATTTTTACATTACAAGATCAGGTATGTTCACCTTTGTGGCAGCATTAGTTTGAAGGCCTTTAGAAGTCCAACATCTTGAGATATCTATGGTGCTGGAACATGTTGAGACATGTTGACCTTTGACCTTGCAGCCTGCATGAAAAGCCTTGAAACAGGGTATATAATGTCTTGAACCATGTTACTGTAAACATAAAACTGACCCTGTAAGGCTGCATAGAAACGTTCACATCACATATTGACATGTTTGAATGACTGTCAACAACAAACATGCACTCAAAAAACTCAATCACAACAAAGTGTGAACAGAATGCAAAGATATAAGTCTATCAGTCTCAAGTAACTTCTCTCAAGTAACATGTGGCCTTTAGCTACAGTCAGAAGCCAACCAGTCTCACAGGTAAGATCTCAAGTAACAGGTGGCCTCTAGCTACAAACGGCGACAACAACCAACCAGTCTCACAAAAGTAAGATCACAAGTAACTGGTGGCCTCTAGCTACAAAAACAGAAACCTACCAGACTCACAGATAAGATCACAAGTAACAGAGATGGCCTTTCTCCTTTGCGGCATCCCATTGATGAGACACAAGGGGTTCAAGACCCTTCTGCCCAAAGCATACCCTAGTTTGGGTGAAGGTCATCCCAAATCTTGCCAGCTTCCTCACTGGCCTTACATCTTCTTTTGATTCTCTCTTCTTTGGAGAGGCCACACTTCTTTGCCAGTTGATCAGCCCTGTGCCAATGTCGGCTCACATAGTCTGCACTCAAGGTCTCAGGCTTCTTCACAGCAATCTTGCCAGCTGGCTTCTTCACTGCAATCTTGCCAGCAGGTTTCTTTTGTTTCTTTTCAGGTTTGCATGCATTCTTTTTCTTCTGGCTGCCTGACTTCTTTTTGGGACTTTTCTTCTTCTGTTTGGAACCAGATTGCTTCTTCTTGCCTTCAACCTGAGTGGGCACAAAATGCATAGCTCCTTCGAGAATCTCAGCATCGGTCAAAAATTGGGCAGGCTTCTTCTTCTCTTCCACAGATGAAGCCTTGCCAGCCAAGATCTTGCCAAAGATGGGAGGGGTCTCAGAAATCTGCTCCAAAGCGCTTGGAGAGAATTGCATTGACCTTCGAAGAGATTGGTTGGCTTTGGTCTGCACAGGCACCAAAGACCTTTGAGGTGTTTCCACCACAGGTGCGGGAAGTGCAAGCACAGGTAAAGAGTCAGTGCCAAGGTCTCCATCTCCTTCATCCAAGATGATCTTGTCCAAGCACATCTGGACTTTGGTTTGCTCATCACAAGTGAGAACTCTAAAAACACGGTTTTGAAGACTTGCAGACTTTTTCAGTTCCCTGTACATGTTCAAACCAATCCTCAGCTTCAGGTCAATGGCATCCATGGCATCGTCCTTCTGGCCAAGGTGTTGAGGCAAGATCAGGTTCCTTTGCTCATGCAAGGCAACCAAGGCCTTCTTTACACGTGCTCCCAAAAGTTTCGTGTTTTTTTTGCATATTCAAAAATGTCATAGGCAAGGCCACTGAGTTTGACAACCCATTCTGGGTTCACAGGTGACTGCCAGGTGACATTGATCATACCCTGGGGTGGACTAATTAAGCGCCACAAATCCTCGCATCTGTGATGCTTCATGAAAGCATCCAGGGTGTTGGAAATATCATTCACTGAAATTGATGGATCAGCTACATTTCTTTTGCCGTGCTTGGCTGCCTCAGCCTTTTGCTCCTGGAGCAATTTCTTTTTCATTTCCAGAGCAGCTGCAAGACCAGCCATGCCAAACTACACAGGGGAGAATGCTAGACTGACAAACTAGGCTACACAGTATGCTCCAAATAACTGCAATGAACACAAGACCTGGATGAACAGAGTCTCAAGTAACCTTTGGATAAATTCATCTGCATGTATGATATGCAAAAGTAATTGATGTAAGCAAGTGATGTTGACTGCAAGTGTCTGTCTGGCGCACAAGTAACTCAACTAGAACACAAGTAACTGCCAGAAGGCTAGATTCAGACTGAGCAACAAATGCAAACACAGTGGCCAGCAAGTAACTTTGAATGCATCAATGGTCCAATAGCTTTTGAGACAAGTGGTGGAAAAACCAACTGCCTTCTCACAAAACAAACAACCAGTGGGAACCAATGCATTCATGACTGCAAGCCTGTGACATGAGTCAAAAGTGAACAAATTTGGTGACATTACTCTTGCAAAACCTTAAGCACAGCCAACAACAACAAGAAAACAACAAAACCAACAAAACAACACAAACAAAACAACACAGAAATAACAGAAACCACACAAAAAACAACATATGACAACACATGTTTCACATACTTAAAAAAATTACTAACCTTACTAAATTAAATTACTAGCCTTACTAATTTAAATTACTTGTCTTACTAAAATTTACTATGGAAAAATTACTTTGATTTTTAAAATAATCTTTTTACTTTACTAATGGAAATTAAGTAATTTTTTGGCCTACTAAATTTAGTTGATCCGCAGACTCAGGGTACCGGTTTTCGGCAAGACGCTCTGGATTGTTTTCTAGGACTTTGTGCTCGCTTGGAAGGAGTCACACGTTACATTCGTGCCAGTCTAGCGGCCGTGAACCCCAAAGTACACTTCGCTGTTATTGCGCTGCTCATCGCCATGATGCAGTGGCCGGACACATCGTTTTGTGCCGGATTGCGCAGCGGGTCCCCAGCAGTTGGCTATCTCCCACCTGCCATTCTTTTGTCAAGCATTGTTGCGTCGCATGCTAGGACTGATGGCCAGCTTTTACTACGATGACTGTACGCTGCAGGACTGGGAACCCACAGCCATTCACGCACAGGGCGTCATGGGGCAGGTGTTGTAACACCTAGGTTTTCCCTTTGCAGCCGACGCCCCTCCCTCCAAGGGGATCGATTTCCTGGGGATGATCCACGATTGTCGACAGCCCATTCAGTCGGCCGGATCCAGCTTTGGATTAGATCTAGGCTGCAAGATAAGATTCAAGATTTCATCCGAACGGCGCGTCGAGATCGCCTGCTTCACCCAGGTACAGCGGCAAAGTTGTTCGGTTGTGTGGTGTGACATTCCTGGATCAGGCAGCCTTTGGCGAGGTGGCCCGAGCAGGGCTGAATGCCATCAAAGATCGGCAACACCTCGACACCCCTGTAGAGCTGACAACCCACCTTGAGGCAGCGTTCGACGTTATCGAAACCATCTTGTCGTTACGGCCCAGGAGGACAGTCTCCCTTTTGCCCTCTTCAGAGCCACGCATGATTGCAGCCTCTGACGCAGCCCATGAGATGGGCAAAGGGTCAGGTGGGTTCTTGTTCAGCGATACTTTTTTTTGTCGCACAAAAGCTGTAGTGAAGATTGATGCTCAGGTACTTCAGTTATGTTCCAAGCCTTGATCAGTTTTCCAGACTCCTTTAAGCGCAACACATGTGTATGGTGGATAGATAACATCGCATCATGAATGTCTTTGGTGAGAGGCCGATCGGATTCGCCGGACCTGGATCGGCTGGCGCAGATGATTCACATGTTGTTGTTCAGCCTCCATTGCAGCGTGTGGTTCGAATGGGTCCAATCGAAATCCAATTGGACAGACGGTATATCTAGAGAAGGCTTCGCAGATTCGTTCATCCGTGAATTTGGTTTCACTTTTCATCAAGTTGCAGTCCCGCACCTGCTTTGGCAGCTTCCGCTCCTTCCCCTTAGTGTCGTCTTCAGCTTTGGGGAATAGGGGAATAGTACCTTGGGTGCACACGTGAAACGTGAGGAAGATCCTACACCTGAGAATCAGGTCCATGCTGATGCATGGATACCAATGCAATTGGCAGAAAGCCTTTGACTGGAGTGGAAGCGAAAGGAAAAGGGAGCGTAGTGCAAACCATTGACTGAATGTATATATTTTTTAAGATTCCGTACAAAATTTGAGCGGCATCAGTGAATTGATGGAGGTATTGCTAGAGGAGTCTGCTGACCAGGCGTGTGGGAATGTCCTGATTAAGTGAAGGTGGTGGCTTTGTCAGCACAGTTGAGTGTCAATGTATATAATTGCTTGATTGGGAAAGATATTGGGAGCTTGAGCAGGAACCCAGTAAATACTATATTCGTTGATTGGCACAGAGTGGCTGAAATCATGACATTCCGTGTGCAAACAAGTCCTTCTATCATGCTATATCAAGGTACTTGTGCTGTCCAGTCCACCTTCATCGTAAAGAAGATTCATTTTCAAAAGAATCCAGGACTTGTTTCGATCAGCAAAAGGTTCTTCAAAAAAACTTCTCTGGGTTTTTTGCAGAACCCGAGCTCTTTGGCATGGTTGCTGCTACAAGTAGTAGCTTCCAAGCGATCCTTAGCTAGCTACCTAACTCCTTTCTATCCCACCAGGTCCTCACGGGCTCAAAGAAAGGAATAGAAAGAAAAGACACATTTCTTTTCTATACTTGTTTCATCCTGTTTCAAGTTTCAAGCTTGCAAAGCCACCCAAATCGTCAAGCGGCCAGTCGACAATGGAGCAGCTTTCAGACGAGAGTGACTTTACCATCGAGTACTCCTTCGCTGAGGTGTGAAACTTGATCGGTAGACACAGGTCGCAGGCATGGTATGAACCAAAGGCATGTACCAAGTACCAACGGCATGTACATCGGTTGTGGTATGTTGTGGCCCAGCCATGTCAACATCAGACAACCAAGACCGCGATGAGTCAGTTTATACCATAAGTAGTGGATCGTGATTGTCAGTCTTCAAGATGTTCTTCTAACATATTCTCACTTTGAAAGAATTAGCCTCCCTTACCCGTGTAACTGTAATTGCAAGAAATTCCCTGCTTCAATTTCGAGTGCTTGGTTTCATTTTGGGCGGCCCTTGAGGAGGTCATAAGAGCTGTTTTGACTTTGGTTCCAGCGCAATCACGCCCCAGGGTAGGTAAAGAAATACGGATCCCGTTTGAAGATTGAAACCACTGTTGCTCGAATGCCAGGAAAACCCCCAAAGAGCCTCATTCCACTACATACACGAACATGCTTGGGACCAGGATTGTGTTGCTGGTTGCTATGTGATGCAAAGATGTTGACATGTTTGACCTTGTGCTTCTCTAAGATGCGCCACTCTTACTGATACAAGCATTGTATGGTATGTCAGAGTAGGCTAGGCTCAGAACTAGAACACATATTTTACATGGTTACTGATTACTGTATAGTTATGGAATTAATAATTTCAGCAAGAAAAACCCGACTCCGAGCATTGACAAGCATGATAAGGCATTCCCAACGAACAAACTGTGCAAGTTTCCATTACGGAATTACAGAAATACTATATAATTTGTACGGACGTTTGTCAGTCAATGACTACACGTGCCAGTATCTTGATCAGTTCGGTTCACTCCAAACTTTGCTGCTGTGTGTCATGTGTCACCTGTCACAGAGACGCACCATGAAGGACATCCTACAAGTTTAAAGCAAACATTTCTTTTTTTTGCCAGCGATGGTTTGATTTCGCCGGACAAACGTATTTTAATATAGTATAGTATAGCATAGTACAGCCTTTTATATAACTATTTATAACAAATATTGCCCTAGCACTTGACCAAAGTCCAATAACAAAGAACCAAACTGCAGTGGCAACCCGATCGCTGCACTCTCAGCTGCCTTTTTGGTTTCTGAGGTGGAAGTGCCAGTGACGGGCAAGGAGATTGCGAGTGGCCACTCATTACTCATCATTACACGTGTTTACTCTCAGCTGGGCTCCCTTTGCTCAAGCAAGATTTTGCCTTGAGAACGGTGAAATATTTGTAGATCTTGTAGCAAGCCAGTGACATCGAGGTTCTATTCCTGGCAGATAGATGCAGATGGCACTTGTATTCTCTTTGCACACACCTCTCGCTGCTGGTGTCAATGGCCCGCAACTCCCGGCATGGCCAATAGGACGATGAGTTGGACGAGGATGAGGAGGTTATGGAGGATGGCACTGCCATCAGCAAAGTAGGTGCCTGGGCTTCCTGTCGTCATTGACTCCATGCAATGGCCCTCTCCACTCCACAAGCTGCTTCATTAGTTTCCTGAGATTGGCAGTTCTAAGTTATATATAGTATCATTATATTTATGATGTACGCTAAAGCTAGTTCTGATGACACAGCAAAGCAAAAAAAAATGCATAAACAATGCAAAACCAATCCCGAAAAAAATGCACAGAAAACGCAAAAACAAGTCCCGAAAACAAGGTGGTGTGTGAAATTTGGTTGTGCATGTGCATTTTTTTTGGCGTTTTGTTCGCTTTTGTTTTACATGTTTTTAACTGTTGTTTTGCGTTTTTTTTTTTTTTTTTTTTTTTGTTGGTTTCCTTTTGCAATTTTTTTTGCTTTTTTTATTTGCACTCGTTTTGACCAGC